CGTTCCTTTCTCCCACCCATATTTGGCCATCTGGGACTCGGCAAACGTGCCACTGCCCATGTCGGCACGGTCTTGGCCTTGGTCAAAGGAAGGCATGTTCGTGTGTTGATAGTGTTGACGGATGTGTGAAGGACACCGAAAATAATGGTGACACTCTCCTTGTGCCAAACGTTTTGGGCGAAATGCCGCGAAAGTGAAAATGTGCGATTATGTCATCATCATAATACTGGATAAAGCATTCACAGCCACGCGATTCTGCTCAGAGACTTGTTACATGGACTGTCAATTCTCTACGTATGCAAAAGGCGCTGATATTGTATGTGTGTGTATTGATTGATCTAGATGGGATGGTTGGTGAGATGACGGGAGGGTGTGGCACCAGTAAAGGAGGAGCGGGGGGCATCCGCGAGACGAGGAGGGAGGGGGATATGTATGACCACATCATCGCCATAACTTAGAATGTCAGATAGCGCCGATCTCCGCTCGCTTCAATATGAGATTACATGTTCACCAGTCTGGGTCTGGGCGTTGGACTGGTTCACCGGCATCTGCTGCTGCGGGAACTGATTGCCTTGCTGTAGCGGTTGCTGCTGTGGTGGTATTTGCTGCTGTTGCTGTTGAATAGGCTGGGATGTCTGCTGCTGCTGCGAGCGGAGCGGGTGCGGGAAGGCCGAGAGGACTGGGGGCGGGGGCTGCTGCTGCTGCTGGGGCTCGGACGCTTTCGCCGTGGATGCAGCAGGTGAAATCCAGTCGACGGACATCAAGATGGCAAATGTTGCCAGTGCCATCCCTATCAGCGATTCCGAAACCCCGCACGTCAGTATAGCGGCCACATCAAAGGAGAGCAATCACGAGAAGCACGGGCCAAGTACGTACAAACAATATTCCGGGTCGTCTCCACTTTCATAGTCTCAATTCGCGTTTTCAGATCCGAGATTCTAACAATCAGCTTATGATGTATTTCCTGAATATTCAGGTCCGTGTCGGTTCCAATTTCGCGCCCGTCCGCCTTATGATTGTTCAGGTCCATCGACACGTCCGTCTTCAAAGACCCAACGAGTTCAGAAAACTTGGCGTTCATCGATTCCGTGTCGCGGAGAATCTGGTCCGTGTCGGCTTTCAACTGCGTCGAGTCGTTTTGCCGCAGGAGTTGGAGTTCGTTGCGAAGTTCTTGGAGGTGGGCTTTGTATAAGTACGTTTGCTAATGGGCGGACATGAAGAATGGGAATCGTTAATGATGGAAGGTTTGTTGGGCACGACGACAGTGTCCTCATACGTTATCCAAGTCGGTCTTTGAGAGGATTCCGGAGCGAATGGACAGTGTGCTGCAAGAGATGCTTGCCGTTAGTCCATGCAAATGAAGCCCATCGTTCAGCTACCCCACGCCATGAGGAAACAGTCCGAGAGCCCGCTCAGGTAAGTGTCTTTCCCCGAGCCCATGTGAACTGTTCTCTGGGTCCAGGTCCACTTTTTGCACAATACCAAGCTCAGCAACGCCACCCACCTATCCACCAACAACGCATTAATAGTCCTCATAATCGCCACGGCCTGTCCTCGCGTGAACCCCTGCCGCTCAAGCTGCCTAACCAGCTTATACGTATCAAAGTTGAATTTCGACGTGATTCCCCTCCGCTGCTGTGAATTGACTCCCCCGGGCCCTCCGGCGGCGGATGTGATTGGCGAATCCAGCAGCCGGGACAGCGACCGGATATAGTCCGTCATGGCCTGCCGGGTGGGCGGTACGAAGGCTGGGATGGATCCTGAGGCGTCGAAGCGCTTGGGAGGTGGGGATTGCACGGCGGTGGAGGAGGAGAGTGACCGCTCGCAAAGGGCATTTGACATGCGGGATCGGACAGCTGGGGAGTGAAATTGACCCCAATGGGGAGAGGGTTTGTGAATAACCTCCCCATTGACTTTGATATAGTAAGGTAGGCTCTCACTACCACTTACCTGTCGAGTGCAGGATCCGCCGCATTGTATGTGATGGTGATGCCATTTGCAAAAGGGAGCGTAACTGGAAATAGGACAACAATTGCGACAAAAGGCGTGTCTATCTGGTACGGTAGTTTGCACCGTCCGGTTGAGAAGGTGGTGTGCGTTGGTTTATGAGGTAGTATCTGTGCAAAGTCTCAGGGTACACTGAATTGAATTGCAAAAATATTGTGCTGTCAGCGGTGGGTTCCGGCCACCGACGCGATTGGGTGTGCCCCGAAGACGACTTGGTATTCCAACTCTCTTCTCGCGGTATGTGAACGATATGTAACAAGCGAAACCTGCGGAGAAACATCGGCTTTGCGGTTGTTTATGTCTACAGTGGATTGAACAGCTTTTTATGTGTCAGTTCGTGCATGTGTAAAAAGTTCCCCCGTGTAATGGTAGAGATATGGATGGACAGTGCTCAGCTCTCGCTTCACTCAGCCTGCGAGGGTCGTACTTATGGGAAATCATGTGGACGTTAAACTATTTTCAACTCTCAGAGAATGCCTGTACTGTCTATGTCTATACCCTTTCCCATAATGGATGTACTTTCGGTGTACGCTCAAGCAAGCGAGTCGCTTCAGATTCCTACCGAGACCCTGCCTCACACAACCTCGGGATCACTCTCCTGCCCTCCCCCAGCACCCTCCACCTCCCCACCCGGCGTTTCAAACGTATGCAAACTCATGTTGTTAAACACCTCCTGGACCTCATACTTTGGAAACCCCACCTCCTGCGCGGGGGCCGCCACCACATACGGCGCAGGGTGGTCGTTCCTTGTACCCTGCAGTAGGGTATCATAGGTCGCAAACGAGTTGCCGAGGATGAGGATCCGGGGTAAGTGCGGCCAGTTGGAGCGCAGGACGGCGTTGTAGAGAGTGTGTCCGCAGTGTGGCATGTAGAAGAGGGTGGGGGTGGTGACTGGGCGGTGGCCGCGCTGGGGGTGGGAACTGTTAGAAGAGAGAGTGTGGCGATTATGCGGTGTGGGTGGTTGTCGTACCTCGTTTTTTTCTATTGCGACGCATTGAAAGTGTTCGGCAACAGCCCTGTCTACTTTGGCCATGACGGGATCAAAAATGTGCAGCTCGCCCGCGAGCTACTTCAAGATCAGCATCAGAGATACAGCCGTAAGATATGCAGTGCTTTTCCGAGGAGCTGTAGATATAAGCGACCTATAGGACGCATTTATGGAAAAATTCCCTGTCTCGTTTACCTTGAACTGATCCCGGAGCAGCAAAATCAAGGCAAATTGATGCTGCGGATTGCTAGCTGTCAGCGCTCCAACGCCGTAGCAGACAACGTCTATTTCTTTCTCCCCCGCGCGGTCCCGAAATGTTCCCATATGTTTGAATAATGATTCTGAAACGAGAAAAGATTGGTAAGGTTTCGCCTTGCTTCTCTGCTTTGGCAATTGCATTGCAGCGCCGCACCTATGACCTTGCTATAAAACGAGCATTTCGCCAGAGCAGTCCTGAAAAATGTACATATTAACAAAAATGGCCCACCCTGAATCAGACAGAATGCAGCACTCACTTTCGCTCTTCTATTTTCTGTATCACATCCTCGGCCGAAGGCTCTTTCCACTCCATCCCCGCTTTCGCCGACTGCTTATAGGTAAACCCAGAGCCAGACGCCTTTTTGATAATCCCTGTCGGACCTTTTTTTCTCCGTCCTCCAGACACCAGTTTGAAACCGTCGTCCTCCATGGATATATTTTCTTTCTGGTGAGAGTTAGTTGTTTTTACTGGTGACGGGTTGAACTGCTGGATAAAAACAAAAATTCGAGCAGACAAGGAGCGCGGTTTGGGCAGGGGCGTGGCTGGGTGTATGCGCTGCCGCATTGCACTCCATTTCGCAGAATAGCAGAAAATGTTTAAACGCAGGACCTTACTCACCGGCAGATGTGGTCATTTGTTATTGTATGTGCGATAGTCACCTCGGAACATATGTCCCTTCATATTCCCGAAGGAGGGCGTATCATAAATCCACTCTTTGTGAACTACAAGCACGGGATGGCGAAACATGGCCCCTCCTCCGCTCCCTATTGTACAGGCGAGAGGATCTTTTCCGCCATCGCTCTTTCTTACCGATAAGCTGCATACAACCTACAAGCGCATCCCCTCCCCTGTTGCCTCCGCGCCGTTTCCTCTAGCTAATGACACCCGACTCTGCAAGAGCTGCAACGTGTTCGTTCCCGGCCAGTTAATTCCTAGTTTGCCTCCAATTTACAGTCTACCGGACCAAACTGAACAATCAGTTCCGACCACCAGTCATTCACGCGCGGGAGGCAAAGTTTGCAGTGCACATACAAACAGCCACATTAGCAAAACTCCCAAAAGCATATCTATCGCTACGAGGGAATAATTTCAAAATCATGGCAGAACACTCCGGATCATGACTCGGAAGGTGGGGTGACCACAACCTAGCCGTAATGTCAGGAGCGCCAGCAGGATGGTGCAGTGATTTAGGTCCCGACCCGCATGCCGCTGTCGAGTATCATGGAGGCCAGGACGTGGCCGATTCCGATGAGGTTGCCGGGGAAGTTGAGCATCCTGTCTTTGGTCGCGGCGTGTATGGATGAGAATATAGGAGGAGAGAAGGCAAGTGAGGGCCGGATTCGTGAGCTGTCGAATACAAATGCCGCAAAAAAATATGTCATTCAGAACACAAACACTTCAAATCAGAAATTCGAAATTCTGTGTTTACATATTGTCTTTAATGCACAGGTGAATGTGTCCGCACGTGTTGGTCCACTGTGAGAGCGTTTATCAGATTTGCGGGTTTGTAGTTAGGATGCGTTAAACTGATGACTTTTGCCTGTCACACCCGCGACGAGTACTTTAACTATCGGTGTGTTTCCGGTCCACCCTACGACTCATTCGCGCAGAAGTAAGTCAAGCTGTGTGATTTTCATTCCTCAATATGCTCGTCGACGACCTGTTGTCACAAACACCCCAATTCGCTGGATGGGGGAAATGCTTGTGTCTCGAACCTATCTAACGCAGAAGGGATTACAGCATCGCCCGGCCATAGCTCAGCTGGAAGAGCATCAGACTGTAAAACAAATAGCTATCTGGGTGTCCCCAGTTCGATCCTGGGTGGCCGGAAATTCTTTTCAACCCAGTTTTTTTTTCTAAATTTGGCAAGCGTTGTGCTAGCCCACCCAAAGTACCTCCCACCCAATCGCTTATTGGAGATATCGGCATTTCCAGTGCTTTATCGGAAATGCAGAGGATTGGCCGAATTCAGGACACACTGCTTGTATTGCCTTCGTGAGGGGGTTACAGAGCTCTTTTGTGATGCAGATGATGGTGTAATGTTGTCAGATGCATGGCAATGTATTTGTGGGAATGTATATTCTATGTCGTAGTCTTATCAGCAAGGTCTTGCTTGTTGAGTGAACTTATCAATTTTTTCTTCAATCATGTGATTGCATGTGATCCAATTCAGCTCTCAGCGTTACTGGTATGGTGGTCACGTACTCCAAGCGAGAATTCCAAATTAGGATCTAATGTAAAGACTAACATTGAGTACGCAATCCTCAACATTCCAATATCGCTATGATATTTTGCTCACTGCACATCAACAACATAATATATACCAAGTGATGCCCACAAAGTTAGATATGACTAAGGTGTGCATAACTAGGTTTTAACAAACTACAATATCTGTGGTGGGGTTAAAAAAAATGTGTTGCAGATTTCTTATTAAGAATAGTAAATTGCAGATGTTGTAGGAGCACAGTTCTTGAAAAACTCAAATCCAATTGGCAAATGCGCATTATTAAAATTCATAAGTTTGTATGTTTAAAAACAGAAAATGTTAAAACAATGTGCTGCAAATTTTTTATCAAGAACAATAATAGATTCAAGATATCCTTTATGAAGTCAGTTATTCAAAAGTTCAAACATAATCTCCAAGTACTCATCTGCCCAACACGGATTGCGGCTGTTTTGTAGCTGTCAAGCTGTGCCACACCTGAAACTGGCCGAGAGGGCGGAGAAGGAAGCATTTATCTACAGTAGTCACAATCACCAAGTTGTTTTGCGTTGTCTTCCCGACAACCCCGCAACCATGTCAAACAATATCTGCATCTGCTACTTGGTCCCTGCAACACCTACCCTAGGCAGGAACTTGAGTCCGTTGATTCCACGGCGCCAAGACCACAAGCCAAAAATGGAAAAAACTGCTGACTGGGACAACATGGTTACAGTCGGTGTCGTCAACAAGGCGAACCTGTATGTCGCCACCAAAGCTTGTGAGGGCTATGTGCGCTTGACTCTCCGCTGAGGGAAGAACCTACAGGCAACGCCAGCGGCTGACTGTAAGTTGAAAGTCTGACAGCGGTGAGCAAAGGACAATTTTGGGGTGGCCTTCTTGACCGATGTCAAGCAATTCTTGGTGTATCATGATGAGAGGAACAGAGAGGTCATGAAGCACAAAGTTGGCACTGCTTCTCTTGGGGTTCTTGATGTTGACCATATCAAGCCGAATACAGCTCATGACCAGCGCAGTGTGTAATGGGCTCTCTTGTATTGGACAGAGAAATTGCATGTTCCCATTGAAAGTATCTCTGCGTAAGTGATGCGACATGGTTCTCAGCGATCTACACAACAACTGACTTTGAGTGTGGGTAGCTATGCGTAAAGACCACAGCGCAGAAGGTTTGAGTGCATCCAACTTTCCTTTTGGGCCTCCATCTTTCACATCGCAGCCACTGCTCTTGGACGCACCTCATCCTGCATCCGAACTATTGCCATCGGGCATCACTCATCCTCCGCGTCTTACTTTCCGCCTTTGGGCTCCATTGCAACAGGTCACAGAGCAGTACTGTGACGACTCTTTTGGCGTAGTTTGCAGAGTTAGGCAGATTTCCAGATAGCAGCGCTGAAGTATGGATGTACAGAAGTATTAATATGATTTTTTGCATACATAAGAAAGAACAGCAAAACAAAAAAAAATTATAATACAATGACTGCTGGGAAGGCGCAGAGGTTGTAGAGCTTTGGCTAACTGTTCAAGAGTATTTTTCTCTTTCCCAAAGGTGTTGTGAACGTTGCAAAGATGTAGCTGACCATTGATGAGTTTGTCTATTTTCTTGATTGCGCACTTCCAACGCAAATGGAGTATTTTTTATTATTTTTATACAATTAATTGAAATTTTTTTTTTATTAATTGGACTAATTATTTATATCATCAATGTAATCGCTCATAAATTTAATCTTCTGTGTATGTGCATCTTCTTTTGAATAAAACATTTCTTTTTTTATAGATTTAGCAATTGAATTTATGAATTCATATTTCTTACTTGATGTTGCCGTAAAATAAAAGAATAATGGAAATTGTCTCAACCACATATGAAACTAAAGTAAAAATTTAAATCTATAAAAAATAAAAGATAAATATTGAATGGTTGTTCTTTCTTCCTGTTGTTGGCTTGTAAAATAGCTGTTGATAGATTTTATACATCAAGTATCTCTGGCTTCAGATCTTCCATTTCACCCACATTCGCTATCAGCTATCAATCACAAATGTCCCAGTCGAACTCCGAACTCTTCAGCTCCTTCATGGATGATTACGGTTAAGATTGCGGGTAAAATCATTCCTGCCTTGCTGGATACTGGCTGCAATACCATGGTGATGCAACCTCGTTTTGCCTACAACATGAAACTTTTGACCACTCCGCTACCTAAACCTTACAAAGTCCATACAGCCGCTGAAGAGCATACATTGACGATTGACACAACTACCAAACAACCGGTGGATGCATTTAATGCTAATACCAACGCTTTCGAACGGATTGCCACTTTCAAGTTCGAGATTGCTCCTATTGGCCTTACTTGTATTCTGGGTCTCCCCTTTTTCAAAGCAATGGGCAACCATTATGTTACAACATCAATCCGCCCTCATCATATAGAATTCAAGATGAATGGACAAGACTTCAAGATTATCACCCTACGGGACTTTCATTATGAAGAAGAACCGGATTCCTTTGTTCGACGTGTCTCAGCCTATCGATTAAAACACATAGATCCCAAACAGGATCGTCCCCGTCAACGACCGTATAACAGCCTCTCCTCGGTTACGACCAGACAATTCAATAAAGAACTTGCCTGAAATAAATATCTCGAGGCCTTTGCGATTCATGTTTGCCCATGCTCTTCCGTTAATAATGATTCTACTTCTACATTGTGGCCAACATTCCTTGATGAAGTCATGCTGAAATTCCAAGATACATTGTTCACCGAACCTGAACACTTACCACCTGATCGTGGCAATGACAATTTTCATATCGACCTCTTACCAAACACACAACCTGTGTTTCAACAATTACGTCCCTTGTCTCAAGATCACCTGAGAGAACTATGCGCCCAACTAGACCATTTATCGAAGAAAAGATGGATCCAACATTCCAAATCACCTTGGGGCGCCTCTGTCGTCTTTGCCGTTAAGAAAAATGGAAGTCTTCGAGTTTGCTGGGCGATCGAACTCCCTTACCAAATCTGCGAGAAATGCGCGATCGCATCTTGGGCAAACGAGCCTTTTCGCTTATTGATCTCAAAGATGCATACCATCGACTCTTGATCACACCTGAAGATTGTGAAAAGACAGCTATTCGGACCCGTTTCGGCCTTTTCGAATATGTAGTCATGCCTTTTGGATTATGCAACGCACCAGGCGCCTTCCAACAACTAATGAATCAGGTTCTTGGTGACCTATATGATATTACGGTCATCTGTTATCTCGATGACATCCTTGTCTTTTCCAACACTCCTGAACAACATGTGGAAAACCTCCTGGAAGTCTTTACTCGGTTACGAGAACATGATCTTTATATCAATGTCGACAAATGCCATTGGGGACAACCGGAAGTTGAGTTTTGCGGCCATATGTTCAGTGCTGAAGGCATGCGAATCTCTCCGGATAAGACGGAAATTGTACGAAAATGGCCATTACCTGCAACAACTTGACATATCCGACAGTTCCTTGGCCTTTGCAATTATTTTATTGATTACATCGAACACTATGCTGAAATCGCGGCCGCACTCTTGGCTCTTCAAAGTGTCACAGCCACCTTTGTATGGACATTAGAACATCAAGTTGCGTTTGAAACTCTGAAGAAAGCAATTATTTCTGCACCGGTCTTGGCGACATTTGATCCCGACAATCACATCTACGTTTACACAGACGCATCCGGCTATGCCACATCCGGATGGTTAGGCCAACCTCACAATCGGCAACCTCTGCCATTGCCATTACCGAAATTGATTACAGAGATGAAAGCCCTTCCCGCTCTCAAGCCTGTCCTTTCCTTCTCATGCAAAATGCTACCAGCCGAAACCCGTTATCCGGTTCATGAACAAGGGCTTTTAGCCTTGGTGAAATTTCTACATGGCAACCGATTTTATCTCATCAATTGTCCTTTCATCGCTTTTATCGATCACATATCCTTGATCGACCTGCAAGAACAACCTTATCTTAGCAAACGGCAAGCTGGTTGGGTCGAACTGCTTCAAGAGTTCGATTTCAAAGTGGAATACCTACCAGGACAATGGAATACCGTTGCCGACATACTTTTGCGAACACCCGCCTATGCTCCACAATGCGTGGATTGCAATAAACGACTACTTGTCTCTTCGTTCATTAATGCTATTTCTCTTCCTTGGCCAGCCCAGACTTCAGAACTGGATTGAGCCACTCATGTACACAATGACGATTATGCTCAGGAAATCTTCCGGATGCTCGACAAAACTCCGAAACATGCGCAACCAAGTCGCTACAAGCGCTTTTCACAATCAGCAAAAAATTGCGATATTCTTGTATACGAAGGAGATTGACTTTATGTCCTGGAGACACTACGACCTTGCATCTTATTGGAATACCATGATGCTCTACCAAATGGAGGTCACATGGGAGAAGATGCAACCTATGCGAAACTGCTTCTTCGTTTCTTTTGGCCCAAAATGCAACATGACGTCCGAAGTTTCATTCGAACTTGTCAGAAATGTCGAGCCTTCACATCCCCTTGCAAGAACGGATTCCTTTGACCATTGCCAATTCAAACTCTATCCATCATATGCAAGGATTCGATCTGTTCTCATTACCG